CGCCGGTGTTCGATGCCATCGTCCAAAGGTTCCTGAAGGTGGATCGATATGCAAACGACATCCGATACGTGAACTACTGCATCAGATGTGTAAGTTGGGCTCCCATCCCCCCCGCCCTGTCCCTTGATCAGTGCAAATCCTCACCTGAACCGTATCCCCCAGGCCAAGCATTACTCTGACCCTGTGGAGCTTTACAGCCACGTGTTCAGTAAAGGCGTGGGCAGCAGGACGGCAGAGCTGTACGTGGCCTGGGCTCAGCAGCTGGAGAAGAAGGGGATGAACCAGGAGGCTGGTGGCGTCTACCAGAAGGCTCTGGAGAACCAGGCCCAGCCTGCAGACCTGCTTCTCAATGAATACAGGTGATCCCAGCAGAAACAGTCCGATTATCTGTCTGCAGTTTTAGAGGGTTTCAGTTTAAAATGAGGAACCATGCTGGTTCTGACTGGAGGGAGCTGAACACAACAGATGAGTGGATGTTCAAGCTCCTTCTAAAGGAGTGTGTTCATTTAAAAGGTGATTAATAAAAACTCTGACCTGCAGCCAGTTCCAGAGCAGAACCAGAACCCAGCCTCCGCCGCCCGGTAAGGTCCGACTCGCTTTGCTAGATGGACCAAGGTCGTGTTTGATCTGCTGCTGATGGACTTTTGTTCTGTTTTTTGGGACAGGAGGTCCGCTCCCTCTGCAGAACTCACAGCAGACCAACCAGATCCAGGTGCCCTCCCACAGACAGGGACAGAACAAGGTCCCTTGGGAACTTCTTTCATTGTCAACCACCATTAACACCAGTATGAACCCACTAACCCTTCCCTGGTTCCCTGCAGGCACCTACTGTCTCTCCATCACAACCAGCTGCACACAGAACCATCGTCACGTAAGTCTGATGGGCCTTGGTGAAGTTAGCCCCGCCCACCTTCTTTAAAACTGTTGTCGACTCATTCAGCTTGGCTTGGTTTGAAGGTATGAGCCAAAGGTCAACCAAATTTAGAAAAACTATAAGTCAGTGGAACGAAAAAGGAAAAAGAGAAAGCGAAATCCAGATCTATACTTTGAAAAACTTTTTCTTTTTCAATTTTTCTATTAACTTTCTCTTTTTCAGATCAAATTCTCTTCACTTCCGGTCCATTCCAAACACTCGCTCTTGACCAATGAAAGTGTTGTTGCCAACATCTGTGGTACTCATAGTCAAATCTTACAACTAAAAGTAAAAGTTACTCTGTCAAAAATCTACTCAAGGGAAAGCATTGGAGGACTCACTTTTGAAAATACTTAAGTATTTAAAAATACATGTTACATCATCTGATATCAGTACATTTCCGTATAATTTTGAGTTATTTTAAAGAACTGGAAGTTTCAGAAACGACCTGATGTATTGATGCGTAGAACAACCTAATACAGATTCTACACCACTTGGATAGAACTTCGGCATAAAAAAAAGTAGGACAGCAATTTTGATTTACTATTTGATTACTATCAATATTTATGACTTCATTCTCATATTTTAAAAGAAATCTTTAGCCTGACTAGTATAAGCTGTCGTAGATGTTAGACCATACAAATCTTTAACAAAAAAATAGTCAATTTGATCAAAGTAAGAATTGAAAAATAATTTTTGATATTTGTTTGGTTTTTGAAACTTAGCTTAGACAAAAACAGCAGTTACCCCCCAAAATTTTGTTTTTTTTTAATCGTCTTTTGGTGAGAGGTTTTATTTCTGGATTTATTTTTTTAAATTTTATTTTCATAATGTACACAATTATTTATTATTGTGAATATTACGATGCTATTATTTCCAAAATAGCAGATTAAGATTCAGTTCTTTTGTTTTTTTTAAACTGTGGATGAAAGTTTAAACCTTTCAACTTATCGAAAAACATGGTTGAGTTTTCAAAACAAAGTTTGTTAAATTTTAAATATGGAGGGTTGACCTTTGACCTCTGAAAGATTGCATTCATATATCTTCAAAACAATTAAGTCCTTAATTTTCTGCACAATCATTTGACAACAGTTTAGTTATTTTGGGGCGGGGCTGACCTCTTTGCTGAACCTGTTCAAGTCCGTTTTTACCAATGAAGCTCCAACAGAACCAGATTGGACCGGTCTTGCTGTCGGTGTCCTCCACAGGGTGTCTCGCTCCGAGGTTTCCAGAACCCTCCCCTCTAGCGCTGCCGTCCCGACTTTGTCTGCCTACGACAAGGACAAGCTGGTCTGTGACGGGTCCGAGTTATGTTTTGAAGAGGTCCGAGCGGCGAATTACTTCCTGATGATCAAGGAGAAGAGAGAGAAGGAGCAGAGAGAAAGCAGTAAGATAGCTCCCTCATAGCAGAGACCCGGTCCGGTCCAATGCGCTCAGCTTATCTTCTCTGCTCTTGTTTCAGTGGAGAGGAAGCTGGGGGAGGAAGAGGAAGCCCAGAGACTCAAAACTGTGTTGGACAGAGTCAACCAGGACCTCGAGGCTCGTTTAGGATGCCCCAGCTGGGTTCTGGCCCAACGGGTCCAGTCCTCTGCTGTTGTTTGCCCCCCTCCTTCAGACGATCAGGGCGGCCTGTCGTGCCCCCTGGTTCTGGAAACGCACAACAGGCCCAGCTCCGTCCAACAGTCAGCTCCAGGCCCAGAGTCGTCCCAGAGCGGGTCAGCAGCTCTGCATGGCTCAGACCGCCAGCAAAGCGACGGCCTTGGGGCCTTATCTTTGTGAGTATCAACTGATCATCCCCTGCTTTTAAATCCTGATCTATTCTCCAGAGGAGCCCTCTGGATTTTCTTCCAACCTTCAGCACACCAGATGCAACTTCACACTAGTGTAGAGGTTAGGATGTTGCTAAGAAACCAGAGGATAAACAGACAGACGTTCTGGTGGTCTCGTTCCCCTGGTAACCGAGCCTCCAGAACCTAGCAGATGGTTACGGGACATGGTTTCTGGTTAGGAATCGACAGAACTCTCCTCCGGTTCTTTTCTCTTCTCATTTAGGTTCAGACTAAGGTGTGAGTCTCCATTAGGGGGCATCAGGCCCCTCTCCATCTTATTTTCTTCTCTCCTCCCACCAGGAGCAGCAGTCTGGTACCAGAACCAGAGCACAAACTGGACGGTGAGTCCTGCTGTTGGCTTCGGGCCCAGTTGTCTGCCTCGCACACATGGACCTTCTCAAACCTCCTCTTCTCCTTCCAGGGTCCCGTGGAGGAGCCGCTAACCTCTCCCACTTCACCCCTAACTCCTCCCTAGGTTTTGTCCAGGCCACGCCAACCAGGGTTCTGCCGTCGCCCACTGTTAACACCCAGGAGGCCCTAGGTGAGTTCCGCCTGCTCCGTGTGGGCGGTCCGGATTCTGTCCAGGTTCTGGTGGTGATGCTTCCTGGTTGTCTTCCTCAGACGTCATCATGGACATGTTTCACGCTCCCACCTTCCTGGAAGGCCCATGTCAGGGAGACTCCATGCTCCACCGCGCCCCTGAGACGGACCCGAAACCATGTGGTAAATACGCTGCAGATTGAGTGCCCCTCAGAACCATGTCACCAGAGGTTCTGACCCGTTTTCTCTTTTACAGTCGTCTCCTCAATACCGAATCCCCCCGCCTCAACCCCGTTCACTATTTTCCAGGACGAGGACGACAGCAGGTAAAGCAGGACATTCCTTCCTGGGTCAGCGGTTCTGGAATAACCTGGCAACATAAATGAGTTCACTTTAAATTCTGGTTTAGAACACCTTCTGACCCAACCGGTTTCCTACTAGTTTAAAACGGTTCTGTGTCACTTTGTCTCCTTCAGCCCGGCAGCTCCGCCTGAGAAATCCAAACCCGTGAATGTTCTGGCCGACCTCAGCGGCCCCAAAACAGACCGACCCATCGTGAGTAGAAAGTCTCTGTGGTTCTGGTGATTCTGCTTTGTGGTCTGACCCGATGCCGTCCCCCAGGAGACCGCATCAGAATCGATACCAGATGAGACCGCCACCTGGGGGGGCTGCTACAACTCGCTGCGGCAGCTAGACGCCTGTCCCAACAGCACCACCGACTTCGCCCCGCTTGCTCAGTGTGTCTCCACGCCCTTCACACACAAGAGTGTGTTTAGCAGCAGCTTCCAGACCCAAGGTACGCGTCCAACCCGCTGGTCCTCAGGAGCAGAATCTCAGATCCCAGGTTCTAAAGGCTGGTTCTATTTGTTTCCTGCAGAGAACAGTGGTTCCGCTGAGGAGAACTTCTACCTCCGACAACAGACGAAAAAACTCAGGTAATTCCTGGTTCTGCTCCTTCAGAATTTAGATATAAAGATGCTGGTTCTGAGCACTGAACCCTGCAGACCTCCATGACCCAAATGGGAATCTGGTTCTGAGGGAGGATCTAACAGCAGGTTCTGTTTTCTCTCAGCCCCATCATGGAGCAAAGTCCAACTGCCGACTCGGCCAATGCCGGACCACTGCCCTCATCCTCCAGACAGGGAACAATCATGGCCGATGGCTTCACCTCCTCCTGCACCTCCTCCTCTCTCGGCATAATTCAGCCTCCTGCCATGCTGTCCTTCAGAGAACAGACGCTTTGCCCAACCCAGTCAGACGGTTCTGGATGGGAGGTCTGCCCCAGCCCTGAGCGGCGCCCTGAACCTGCCTCCCAGAGCCAATCCTTTAAGATTCTGGAAGACTCGGAGTCGGTCAGCCCAGAACGGGTCCAGAACCGGAACTTTGAGGTCCCCATGAGCCCAGAGTCTGCTCCCAGTGCCGCCTGTCTGGACATCAGGAGTCATGAAGCCACAACCAAGCCAGACCTGGACTCCTTCCTGACCCCCCCTCCACTCGTTCCAGCTGAACCCAGACCCCCGGATGTTCCCATGAGTCCGGAACCTCAACCCAGCTGCGCCGACGCCCCCGTGAGAGCGCAAGGGCCTGGAGTTCTGGATGAACCCATGCCGAGTCCTGACAGTGGGCGGGGCGGCCAGATCCAGCCCGAGTCCGATCCCTGGGATTTAGAACTGATTTCGGACCTGCTGGGCCGGCTAAACCCGCCTCTGACCTCTCACCCCCGCTGCAAGAGCTGGCCCTGCAGAGTCCCCTGCATCGAGCCCAAGATTACCCTCAGCGTGGGTAAGAAAAGACGCAGGTTTCTGTTTTCAGCTAAATCAGGATAAAGTTCTAATTTCAGATCAGGAAAAACACCCAGAGCAAACCAAATTAATTCTAAAGATGGAGGCAGCAGCGATTACTCCCCCCTAATGCGATCTCAGGCCATTGCTGCTGGAAGCACTGATGGATCAAAAAGCGCAGTTAGTACTGTGACAATCCCCTACTGTCCAGTAGGTGTCTCTATTCCTCTATTTGTCTGTTTTGTTCTTTTTAGGAAGCAAGTAGATGTTAATTGTTAATTGAAAGCACCTGGTGGCTGAAAAATAGTGACACCCAGTCAGTCAACAACAGCCAGTCGGGGGGGTTAGTGTGCTGTGTAGAGCAGTTGTCTCGGGAGCACATCCGGAGATGCAGGATGGTCACTATTTATTGATCGCTTTTCAGGCGTTGGTGCATAAAAACCCACCATGGTAACGCCTGAAGACTAGGGAGGAGATTGGTTTGAGGGACGAGGTCACTGTGACGCTGTGGCTGCTTTAAGATTGTGGGAGTTCGTGGTGTAACTGGTAGGAATGGAACTCAGGTGTTGTGTGAATAATTGTTAATGTTATGGCTGCTGTTGATGAGTTTTTGCGAGATCCGTCTGCACACGCAAACAATTCTTAAAGATCGCTGAACATTTAAAATTTTAGGTCAGTGATAAGCAGTCTAAGAACAGTATTAAAGCTATCATTAAAGCTAATTTAACTGACTCCATTGTGTTAGGGCCTGGATTCTGGTAGTGTTCCTGTGGTGGTCTATACCGATCACAACCCCCTAACATTTTTGCAATCATTGCAGTGTCCGAATCGCAGATTGATACGATGGATGTTGTTTTTGCAGCCTTGATGCCTGGATATCTGCCATATTAGAGGCTTGGATAATATTGGCAGATGCTTTATCCAGAGCACCTTGTCCCTAGATCTAATCTACTGTGTGTTTAATTCCCCTTCTCTACAAGTTTCTTATAGGCTTATCCAGTGGCTAGAAAGTGGGTGAGCTGTTGAGGTTGGGATTTAATGGGTGATTGTGGTAAGGCAGAAAATTGTAATTGTTCCCTAGTTGTTCAGTTGAATTGTTGTGTCCTTTGGGATTTTTTTATGGGGGTGGGTGTGATGATTCCCCTACTGTCCAGTAGGCGTCTTTATTACAGTTTTCTTTTTTTTTTTTTTTCAGGAAGCAGGTACTTGGGCTGTTAATTGAAAGCACCTGGTAGCTTCTAAATAGTGACATGCAGTCAGTCATCCACCCTGCTTGATTTGGCTTTTGGACCAGACTGGAACAAGCAGCATTGGTCCGCGCTTCTCTCTGACTGGCTGAGCAGTTTTCCCATCTCATATTTTGGATAAAATAAATGATTGTTTCTATAGATCTGCTCGTCTGTCTCCCATTTTTGTATTTGGCTATGAGTGGGGCGTGACAGTACCAACCTTAAGTATTGGCCACTTCTCGCCTGAACACCTCCTGCAGTCAGGCACGGTGGTGGCAGTATCATGCAGAGAACCTCCCTGAACATCCAGATTCATAGGTTAGCATGGCCTAGTCAAAGTCTAAAGCTTCTTAGAAGTTGTGGAAAGAGACGGGCTGAGGATGTTGATAAATACCTGCACCCAGGTGAGGTTCTGCCTCAGAGGGAACAAAGCTAGAGGCTTTCCACACCTTTCAGTTCCTTTAGTCGACCTGATCAGAAGGTTTGGTGGAGATGATGCTGGAGCTCCTAGGAGAGGCGGCCTGGTTGGAGCAGAGCACTCGGTGTAGGAAGCCTGCAGATCTGCTGCACCAGGCCGCCACCCTCAGCAGCAGGTCTAGCAGAAGCAAATGTTCTGGATCATCTTGGTTACTCACAGGGTTCTACCGGGTCTCCTCTTCCTGCAGGGAACTCGTCCCTCAGGGTGGACTGCATTATCGAGAAGGGAGCCTCCGCCATGGTTTACCTAGCCACGGATCCCCGGACCGCTGAGATGATGGTGTTAAAGGTAAGGTGGAAACAAGCTCAGCAGGTGGGAAACATGGGAAACCAAAACAGGCTGCTCCGGGCCACTGGGTCTGTTATCCAGATCAGAAAAGCCTTTCAGAGAAACACGACAACGTGCTGGATAGAACTAGAGCTGCTAGATATAGAGGAAGGAATCAGTATGAAGCTGATCCAGTTTTTTATTGATTAATTGATGACAAGAATTTCCCATCAAGAGAATCTTTTTTTAATAAAAGATCAGCTGAATTTAAAAAGTAATCCATCTTTATTTACTATTTGTTTTCCCAGCTGAGTTGAATATGTTCTCGCCTGTGTCCGACCTTTCAGACATTTCAACATCTTTTTCTGAATCCAACATTGTAGCATGGCTTAGACAATTTGCATTTGCAGTTTGAATATGTGGATGGAGCCAATGATCTGCATTGGATGGCGCACATGCAGTGAAATAAATATTTATGAAGATTAAACCGAAGCCAAGAGTAGCGAGTAACGTTTGTTTTTAAAATTTAAGGAATAGAAAGTACAGATACTTGTGTGAAAATGTAATGAGTAGAAATCAGAAGTAGGAAGATAAATAAGCAATGGAGTAAAGTATAGATACCTAAAAAGTGTACTTAAGTACAGTAACAAAGTTACTTTGTTACTTGACACCTCTGCCATGAAGGTCATTCCATCATAAAGCTTCTCCAGGTAGCACGCTAACTGCTTCCATGTCTTCTTCTCTCCTGTTCCATTGTTTCCTCTTTTCTGTCATCGTCTCCTTCTACCGAGGAGTATATTAGACTTTCTATTTATCAACAGAGCCACAGAAAGTTTATTCCTCAATCCATGAATCCGGACCGTGTTCCAGTTCCAGAAACCAACAGGACAGATTCCCTCTGCTGACATGTGGTTCTGCCTGCAGGTCCAGAAACCGGCCAATCCCTGGGAGTTTTACATCAACACCTGCCTGGACGCTCGACTGCAGCCCGCCGTCCGCCACCTGTTCAGCAGGATCCACTCTGCACACCTCTTCCAGGACGGGAGCGTCATGCTGGGGGAGCTGCACAAGTACGGCACCCTGCTGGTCCGTTTGCTGAGTTCGCCGACCTGTTCCATGGTGGCTGCTGCTGCTGGTCCTAACCGCCTCTGCTTGCTCCTTCCAGAACGCTGTGAACATCTACAGATCCATGAGCGAGAAGGTTATGCCTCAGCCCCTGGTCCTGTACTTCAGCGTCTGCATCCTAAACATGGTGGAGCAGCTGCACAGCGTGGGCATCATCCACGCCAACATCAAGCCCGACAACTTGATGCTGGGAAAGAGGTTGGGCGCCGCGGGTTCAACTGGGCCGTTCTGGGGTCCGTCTGTAACAAGATGAACATGGTTTTTCTGTCCCTTAAGATTCCTGGACGACAGCGGCTTCAATGCGGACAGCGTGGACCACGGCCTCGTCCTCATCGACCTCGGCAAGAGCATCGACATGCAGCTCTTACCAGAAGGCACGGCGTTCACCGCACGATGTCTGACCTCAGGCCTCCAGGGCACCGAGATGCTCAGCGGGAAACCGTGGACCTACCAGGTAACCGGCCCCTTCTGGTCATCACCATGGCGATCAGATGAGGGGGAAGCCAAAGCGGCTTATTGTTCCTGTTGCTGGTTGGAAAGCAACCAGAACCAGCAGCAGGTATGAAAGCTGCAGGTCTCAGCAGGCTCCTCTGTGCCTCCATGTTTCCAGGCGGATTACTTTGGGGTGGCAGGGACGGTCTACTACATGCTGTTTGGGAGCTACATGCAGGTCAGCAATCACAGCGGCGTGTGGAAGACCAACGCCGTCTTCAGAAGGTAGGTCATGGAACCTCTGGGTCCGGCCTTTGTTCCTCACCTACAGCCTGTTGAGATCTTCTCCTCCCTGCAGGAACCCCCACAGCGACCTGTGGCTGGACTTCTTCCACACGATGCTGAACGTGCCGGATTGCGGCTCCCTGCCGCGCCTGCAGGCGCTGCGCTGCAGAATGGCCTCCGTGCTGCAGCAGAACTACGGCAGCAGGCTGCGGACGCTGAAGAACCGGCTGCTGTTGAAGCTGCTGGACTGGACCCATATAGTCTGAAACAAACAGGAAACAAGCAGCTAAAGCTGGGAGTCATTTCTTTTGGTCATTTCATTTTATTCTTCCATTTTTTTAGCTATGAAACTTGTAAAATATTTATCTTGTTCATAATAAAATGTTTGTTTTTTAAGGGGTTGTGACATGTAAGAGATTATTGTAATATTATCTTTGACTCCTCTTTCATGTGATTAAAGGCGCCTCCTATGTATTCTCACAGCAGCTGTCTGAACTTTGGTCTGATTCAAGATGGCTGCCTTCTAGGCACGTCGCCCTCGCTTCCGACAGCGTCCAATGAGGTGTCTACGCATATAGAGTGTGTTTGATTTTAAAGGCTGCATCGTCCAAGGACCCGGTCTATCTGGACTGGATCCTTCAAATTCCATGAAAATAAGACTGGAATAGTTTTGGCTGTGGATTCAAACAGGTCCAACCATCTTTGCCTGCACTCTGTCACTTAGCAGCCATGACTGTTGGCACACAAAGCAGGAAAAGAATGAATACTGAACTTTTCACTACTGTTTAGATTTTTTTTTTTAATTGTAAAGTGAACAAAGACTACACTAATGAAAATAAAGAGTGGAATAATGGTGGTAACCACTGGGAGCTTAAACAAATAAAAGCACTGTTTAAAGTCTTGACCATTTGACAAAAGACTCCTTGCATTCTATTGTAAGATTGAAATTATCCTTTTTGAATTGCTTGACTACATTATTCTCCCCTTATATCTTTCCATTGAATATTCTTCAAATCCTAACCATGGTATGCTGCCTGAACAAAAATCTGAATCCTTTTCGTCTTTGATTTCACATCTAAGGTTGCATTTATTACTCCTGCAATAAAAGTCACCAATTTTTTTTTTCTATTTTCCCTTCAACCATTTCCATAACCTTTTGAAGCACCTGTTTTTCTCCTGTCAAAAAATTTCCATTTTGTTTCTCTTTTTCAACCATTTTACCTGCTTCTGCATGTTACAACAGTCTACTCTACTCCACAACTACAGCACTTTGGTTTTACTCCACATTTTTCCATATTCATGAAACATCAGGCACATCTAATTTTTTCCTTTACACTTTTTTGCAACATTGCTGAATTCCTGAAGATTGAAACATCTTACTGGTTTAGGCACGAAATTCCTGAAACTAAATCTCATCAAAACAAAGAAAACTCCTTCGGCAGTTATTTTATTTCAAACTCCACCAAGACAGTTTCTGTTTCAACTTTCTCTGGACCCTTTGTCAGCCTGCGTGCCCCTTTTACTTCCCTATTTCTTTTAAATTCCCAGCTAAATCTTTCATATTGACACTTATTCACACTCCTGTGATAATTTCTGTACTTTCATTTTTTTATTTTTCAACAACTGTTCTGCTTTTCCTCAATGCTGTCACTATCACTAGGCTTGGGGCCAGAAACTGGAGTAATGGGATTGAACATCATTATATTTTTGTGGTCTTCTCTCTCTCAGGGGACCCATCTGGCGCTCACAGCTTTTCCTATACCATACCTGCTACAGAGTGTCAATCATAGATTCAAGCTTTTGCTACGGTAAATGTCAGCCAGTAACCTTTGGGGAGCATCCTCCACCTTAAAGGGGCGCGGCAAAGTTACCAAAACAGCTGCCAGTGACCAGCTCAGTCTGAAGGGGTGGATTTAGGAAATTTGGGGTCCTAGGCGAAGACAGGCAGGGGGCCCTCTGATTTGATAAGACAACACATAAAACTGACCCATTATACATATACAGAAATTTTAATAGAATAGACATACATTATTTGTTCTAGGTTTTGTCCCTCTCTTCTTGTTGTTTTCCTCTATGTTTTGTACTCAGCTGACTTTTCATGCTGTCTCAAAAGGAATGAAAGATTTTTTCCAAGCACTAAGCTCACTTAGCTGATTGCTCCTTCCTGTGTTTCCAAAAAGGCGACAAAAGTAAATAACCCAGTCCTTCTTTTCACTGTAGACAAGCCATGATCTGCTTATCTGTTCTCCATTTCTCATTTGGATTAAATCATAGCTGCATGAATCATGACAGCAGACAAGATAGAGGAGAGCAGGAGGCGGGGTTACCTATCTACTTGCTCTGGAGAACAGAGTTTGCTGCTTTTAGATGTTGTTGCAAAAGTCTCCAGTAGCAGAAAAAAGTCGATTAATTTTGTCACTACATGTTTAAAAAACAAAAAGTGCTTAAAGGGTCTGAAAATTTCGCTAAATATAGCGACAAAAAAGATCTAAGTTGGCAACACGGCTCTTCACATTGTTTTCAAATGGTTTGCTGCTGTCTGTTTGGATCTTTCTCCACGCGCAGTAAATGGACTGATCCAATGAGGTGGACACCGAAGGGGGGACACACTTATTGATATAAGCATTATGATGGCATTTTTTGCAAAATATTTTTTTAACAAAAATATGTGCACAAATAAGGAGTAGTTTTATTAGCCATACATGTAAACAGTTTTATTGGGTCTCCATTATCAAGCATCAGATACCAACAGGGTCTGCACCCCCTCTCCATCCCAGTCTATATAAGGATCTACGACACCTTCAGAACAGGCTGAACAGTTGTATCTCAACCCAATTGGCAGCTCCTATTGGCCTCGTTGGGAAAAAAAGGGATGCCTTGAGATGCTGTGTGGACTGCAGGAGGTTGAACACCCTGACGCACAAGGATGCCCATCTGTTGTCAAGAACAGAGAAGTACTTGACTGGACTCAAAGCTGCAGAGTGGTATTCTACCCCAGACCTTGCAAGAGGATATTGGCAGATGGAGGTGGATCAAGTTGGTATGGAAAAGACTGCCTTTGTCATACCATTTGGCTTCAACCAAGTTTGAACGTATGCCTTTTGTTTGGTGCAACAAGGTTACCTTTCTCTGGTAACCTTTCCTTAAAACCTCTTTATTGGTCCTTTTACCTCCAAACATCATCAATTTGGATTTGCTTTCATTTAACGATGGCTTTTTTAACACAAACCCTTGTTTAACTTCATCAGTTCTTTTTCTACAGTTACTATCAAGTTATGAAATTAGTATTATCTGCAAACATAAGCTATGTTAATGTATCACCTACTCTAATGTAGGTTTATGATTTCTTTTCTATTTTTTTCCTTTTAGACACACCTATTAAGGTAACACTGATGCTTTTAGGACTGTGGGAGGAAGCCGGTGTTCTGTCAGATCAGCATACATGACTGTCCTGTCAGAACAATAATCTCTTTTGTAACCATGTGTTATGTTCTGTTAATAAATAAGGCATTGCAAGGAGGTGGGTCGGGGAGAGAGAGTGTTGGAGTGTGGGTTCGGCTCTTTCTCCCCTCCTGCAGGAAGCTGTTGTTGAAAATCCCTCTCTGTGTATTCAGTCCTTCTTTTATCTACATTTTTGAACCTAACAATACACATAGTCAACACGCATGTGCAAGACGTCAGATTTGTGTTTATACCTTTAGTTTTTTACGGAAAATAGACTTTAAAATGCCTCAAAGGGCCTGTATCTCTTTAGTCATGTACAAAAAAAACCGAAAAACAATTGAGGTTGCCATACATTAAAAAAAACAAAACACCAAAAAGTAAGTAATTCAAATTCCTTATAAGTGCAAGCCTTATTGGCAATAAATCTGATTCTGATTGCAATGCACTTAAAGACCACTAGGGGTATGAGTACCCTCTGTTGGGAATCACTGACATAAAGTATAAAGGAGAAATGACAATTACAGCTTAAGAAGCCAGGTGCTTTATTCAAAGCATACAGCCGGAAGGAGTGGCAATGACAGAAAGGTGACAGTGATGGCAAATGAACGTTTTTCTTTCCCTTATGAGAAGCCAGAGAGGTCATACAAATTCAGCATCAAAGCTACGGCAGATTTTAAAAAGTTGATAGATTTAAAGAATATCCAACATTATCCATATTGGCATAATTACCCTTAAACTTTATATAATGTTTATAAAACTCCATAAAGAACGTCACGGATCAGTGCTTGGTGTTCAGTTGTCAGGCTGTAAAGGCAAGAACACCAGAGCTGTGATAGTGATGACTGCAGCAACATGGAGTTAAATAGAAATCTGCATTCAGACAGAAACACAGACGAGAAAAGTATCGATCACTGTGTAAAAACGGCAAACCGAACGAAACATAATTCCTTAACCCAGAAGTGGAACAACCATTCCCTTAATGTTGCATTTTAAGTTGCATTCTCTGCTGTGCTTTACGTGGATCAAAAGCAGGTAAAAGAGATCCTGGTTTATTAGCTTTCACTGAAAAATTCAGGTCGCAATATAAAAAAAAAGAAGAGAGAAATACAGTTTAATGTGTTTAGATTGATTGTGATTTGACAGAAAACAGAGTTTTTTTTTATAAGTGGTAGGTTAGGCAAGGAATTAACTTAAAATAAAAATATTGATGTATACATTTACATGAGATTAAATCAACATAAAACTAAGGGGAGAAAGAAAAAATAATCTAACACATGAATGCGAAAGCATATATTATCCCACTCTAAACTGAAACTGCTGCATTAAAATAAAAATAAAGTCATAGTAAGTTGAGACGTTTAAAAATGGTTAGAAGCATATAAAGGGAAAAACCTTAAAGACAAAATACAACTTTTGGTGTAAACTGTATGTCTGAACCATCAATTCAAATTCATAACACTTTACTCCTGTTCAAACTACTCAAGTTGCAGTGTTTTATTATTTTTTTTATGGGGAGGAGGGAAGAGAATTTAGCAGAAAATCTAAATTATAATGGTAATTATAAATAACACGCCTTGAATAGTAATAAGTGATGCTTTGGCACACTGGTGAAGCAGGACGCCGTCCTCGCTTCAAATACCTATTGGTGTCTTAAAGAGCAGCTTAATGTAAAGTTCTCCAACTTTATCATCCAAACAAACATAAATGAATTAAGCAGGATAAAATAAGATTGAATCATCGTCTTTATAAAGGTCTGTAATGAACTAGTTCCATTAGTCTGACATCAGTTGTTTGACTCCCTCAAAGTTTTAAAACCTGCAGAGTT